CATGAGCGGGTGGTGAAATTGTTTGATTCTCGCTCTTTAGGTATCCTTTTTTTTCTTTGATTGAGCTGTAGTTCTTTCTATTATTTGCAACAAAAGCAGATTTTAGCTTTTTGTAGTCTATGATGCGTGTGCTGGAGTGGGTCCATTTGTCTTGCCAGCAATAAAGAAGGGACGCGCTTCACATGCATTGGCTAACGATCTCAACCCAGAAAGTGTGCGTTGGTTGAAGGAGAATGCAGTACTCAATAAGGTGCTCTACCTGATAAGAACTTTTTTAATTCGCAGTTATATTCTAATTGCATTTTCAGTTCATTAGTTCAGTGGCTGTATTTCCAGTGGTTGAAGTTAAAGACAGTGATAGTCTCCTTGTTCAGATTCCTTCTGCGAAGTTGGAAATCCACAATCTGGACGCAACCGCTTTCATTCGCGGTCCTCTGGCGGAACATCTAACTAAAGTGAGTTTTTAGCGAGGTTTTTTTTTCCTCGGCTTTGTTCGGCTAGAAAAGGGCATTTTGCACTTTCTCTAACTCCTTTCGTTAGCTCATGTTATATAACAGCTTTCCCTTTGGTGAGACCTGTGAACTTGTGTGAAGCTGCAAAATGGTGCAAGTGAACCACTGCCACTATTGTCACGGGAATTTACAGGTCTTCACGAGGTGGCCTGTACAAGCTTACCTGAATACTATTTGGTGCCCCACCTAGCCAGACTGCGCCTTTTTTCTATTTCGAAAAGTGTGAGTTTTCTTTTTAGGAGATCGGTAATGCGGAAACGTCAGAAAGCCCGCCGTCAGGAGCCCATGTGATGCTGAACCTACCTGGTTTCGCTGTCAATTTTCTCCCTTCGTTTCGAGGAATGTTAACTGAACATTTCCCGGCAGAGTTTTCATCCACATTGCCTGTGAAAGTATACTGCTACCTTTTTGCCAAGGTAAGTTGTTTTTCACTGTATTGGTGATATCTAGAACCTTGTGAAAACTATTGTAAAGAATTAGTTTGAACCATAACCCTTCTTGCAGAGAGGCAAAGGCAAGTAGTTGGGCAGTCGGGAGCAGGGCTCTACTGGTCCCCCTAAGCTTTGGAACAAAGCATAGGAGCGAAAATG